CATTCCCTTAATAGAAATCCTTTCTATTTTCCAGAAAATAAACTAAGGCACATATGAAAGATTTGAATTTGAATTTCAAGGGGATTTGAAATGTGGTGGACTTGGTAAAATCAGGGGAAGGTCAAGGAGTTTATTTGGATGGAGAGTGCCAAGGAAAAATGCCAAGGAGAATTACTTGATGCCAAATAAATTCTAGGGCAAACAAATCATACACAAGCAAGCATCCAAGCATTTCAATCAAACAAACATTTCATCACTTCAAACATTCTAACCTAAATGCATATGGTGAATTTTGATGCAGGGTTTTCAGAAGACATTTTTAAAATGGTTTTGCAAAAAATAAATAGTCAAGGTTTTAATTTGTTATAAAGTTTTAAAAAGTTCAAATTTTTTGTGGTTTTTATTATGATGCAAAAACAGGGTGTTACATCAACATTACTACAGTTGTTCTAGAGGAGCGAATTGTTTTCATCCAAGTTAACCATGATCTCCAAAGGCTGTGGTTCATGACTTCCACCATTAGATTGTGCTCTATATTATCAAAAACTTTCTCAAAGTCTAGCTTGAGAGTATCCACTTCTTTTTTTGAATGATGACATAGATGTAATTATTGAAAAGCCCAGGGTAGATAGTCTTGAATGGTTCTGGTCCTGATAAAGCCATACTAATTCTAAGGGACTAACTACAAGTATTGGAGAGAGGACTGTTAAGAAGAATTGACGATGGCAGTTCGACGAATATATGGCGAGATCGATGGATAGCGAATCATTTCGGTGGACGGCCTATCACTGTGCCAGAAAATCCACAGGTCACAAATGTGTCTGATCTGCTAATGCCGAGTGGGGCTGGAATGAGGACTTGATCAAGCAGGTCTTTTTCAATGTTGATGCTCAGGCCATTCTGTGCACACCAACCAGGGGGCATGGTAATTAATGATGCCTGGGCATGGGAGCCGGAACGCCATGGCTTATACACGGTTCGGTCGGCGTATCGTAAGCTGTATGAAGACAATAACCAGCCAGTGAATGACGGAGGAGCGTCCACCTCTGATGAGAAAACATGGAAACAGATTTGGGGTATGTGTGTTCCACCAAAAGTACGTGTCTTCTGGTGGCGGGTTGTCAATGGCTTCCTTCCAACAAGAGGAGTTTTGCACAGAAGGCCCATTGAACCAATTCCAACTTGTGAGATGTGCGGTGCAGCGGATGAATCAATAAAGCATGTGTTGATGGACTGCACTGTTGCCAAGAGTTTTTGGCGTGAAGCAAAGAAGGTCACGGGTGTTAAATTGTCAGTGCTGCATCCTCTAACTTGGGCACATGATCTTGTTGATCCGGCTCTATGCCCTCCGAAGGATGTGGCTATCTTTTTATGTGGTATGTGGTCTCTTTGGATGTCCATGAACAAGCAGCAGGTGTTCCTAGGAGGCGTCGTGCAGTTGAATGCACATTCTCACCGCCACATCGTAGCGGGAGGCTTGCGGCCAAGAACAGATGCAAAGCCTCCAACCCGACCGTGCAAGCCCAGAACATGTTGATGGCAAAATGGGGAGTCCGCCGGTAGGATCAGGCGCCGCAGGCTGATGCAGAGGGCGATTTCGATGAGTACATGGCCCTATTCGGCGGGCCTCTCTCGGAGTCCAAGCGCGAGGCAATCAGGATGCTCTTCCCGGTAGGCTGCGCGATTGAGGGCATCCAGCTGGTGGAGGGGGTGGAACTTGAGGTTTAGCCTACCTCTGGGTATCCGTCCTAGGTCGTGCAATCGTTGCCTATGGCCTAGTTTACTAGCTCGCTGTCGCTCGGCCCGTTGTTGCTTTTAGTCCCTCTTGTGGTAGTAGCCGGGCTTCGTCGTAGTTTTCTTTAGTTTTTTTGCTTCTGTTTTTTTCTTCTTTCTCCTCGCCTAGGAAACCTTTGATTACCTAGTGTTGAGCCGTTTGTTATTTGGTTTGGTGTTGTCTACTTCATCTTAATGAAATACGTGCTACACGGCACGTTCGAGAAAAAATGAACAAGCAGCAGCATGGTGAGAAAGTTTGACCAATGCATGTGATGGTGCAATGGGTGACAGACCTGGCTTTTGATCTCTGGCAGATTGCTCATCCTCCATAGGTCCACCGTGCAGCAACGCGAGAACATCAGCATTGGCAGAAACCAGAGTCCGGGTGGGTCAAGTGCAATGTGGATTCATCGTTCTATGACCGAGACCGAAATAGTTCGTCAGGAGTCGTCCTACGTGATCATGAAGGTAGAACTCGTGGGGGGACGGCCAAATGGTACGATCATTCCATGAATGCCTTGACTACGGAAGCGAGGGCGTGCCTGGACGGCATGCTGTATGCGCAGGGAAGGGGAGTTCGCACGCTAATTCTGAAAACAGATTGTCAGGTCTTGGTGAACCTTTGGGACAACCGCTCAACACAAAAATCAGAGGTAGATCCTCTTCTGTACCAGTTGGCCGATCTCAACCGGAGCTTTGATGATTTCAGAATCTGCAATAGGTTAGCTCATGAGTGTGCGAGGTTGGTTTCTCGTGAAAACCCGGCGGTTGAGTGTATAACTCCACCAGCATTACGAGTTACCGCTGATGCTGATTGTAACACAACTCATGGTTAATATAAAGCTCCGGTTATGCTAAGAAAAAAGATAACTGTGTGCAGTCTATTTGCAAATAGCTTTGTGATCAGCTTGACTGAATAATTTATCCAAGAGATTGGTCTGAAATCAGAAATGGGTGTGGGACCTTCTTTCTTGGGAATCATAGTTATATGTGGGAATCATTGATACTTTTAAGACAAACTTGATTATTCTAAAAAAAGCTAGACAAGGAGCATAAAAATCCTCCTTTATAACTGGCCAATATTTCTTGAGGAAAATCATTGTTGAATCCATCCAAGCTAGGTGCTTTGTCTGAAGGTATTGGCTTGATTACTCTGGTCATTTTCTTCCCTAGTAAAAGCTTCCTCAAGAAAGGAAAGGTCAAAATGAGACTTAATGAGATTGGCGAGATCAAATGGGTTATATTGGAATTAAGATTTCCCCGATCTTTCTTTGAAGGCTTCCAAAAGCAACGGGGCTTTTCAATGATGATTGAACATGCGCTCTCCAGTGGCAGAATCTAGCTAAGTTATCAAGTTGTTTCTATGCCTTATGGTGGCATTGCATGAAAAAGATGTGTTCCAGGGTCACCAAACTTGACCCATCTGACTTTCCTTCTTTGTTTCCAATAGATCTTCTATTGATTAAGCAAAGAGAACTACTACAAAAAAATCATTTTGCGAGGCAGACCAAAATATTAACGCACGTGGGCACATCTAGTGACCGCCTCTGTAAATGGTTAGGAGAGCTCTGAAAAATGCTCACCTTCCAAAAACATTTACGGAGACGGGTGTCCTAATAAGACATACACCTCCGAAAATTATTGATTAACGGAGGCGATCGCCTTAGGACATCTGCATCCGTAAATCAAGTTTTGGAGGCGGGAATATTAAGACGTCCGTCTCCGCTAATTAATGATTTTCGAAGGCGGACGTTCTAAGAGTACGCCTACTAAAATCGATTTATGGAAGCAGACGTCTTAAGATATAAATAGCTGCATCAAAAAAATAATTCATAACTTTTTCATATGAACTCGGATGAAGACAAACTTTATATCAAAATTATAGCCCTTAACGTGATCTACATCTTTGTAGTTAAAAAGGTTTTTAATTGAAACTGTTTAGGGTCTCAAAATATTATTGTAAATTTATAGATTTTGAAATTTAAAATTTAAAATTATCAAACAATCTCGGTTGTTGACATGGTCTACACAAAAGTTAGAGTTCTCAATAGAATTTACAATTTTGTAGTCGAAATTTTTTTATTTAAAGTTGTTTCAAGTCCCAAATATGTGTTCAAATGTAATATATTTTTAAAATTCCTAAACGATCTCGAATGTTCACGTAGTGAATACCAAAGTTGTAGTAGCTGACCTGAGCTACATGCTTGTTGTTGACAAGTTTTTTAATTTAAAGTGGTTTAAAGTCACAAATATGTGTTTTAAAATCATATATTTTTATATTCAAAATTTTGAACTTTTCAAACAATGTCGGATGGAGATACATCATATACCAAAGTTGTAGTACTTGATAAGATTTAAAACTTTATAGTTAAATGGTTTTCATTTAAGTTCATTTAGTAGTCAAAATATCTAATATAAAATTAGGATATAAAACAGTAACATATTATATATAGACATGAATGAGTATGTGGTGCAGTGATAGAAACGAGGCAATGTTGAATGTTAGGTTGAACCCTAGAAGTAACATTTTTTTGGATTTTGGGTTTTCTAGAGAACATTAACGGAGGCAGACGTCTTAAGACACCCGCCTCCGAAAAGCCTGATTAACAGAGGCAGACGCTGTGTCTGCCTCGGGCCTCCGTTAATAAATCCTGTAGCAGTGGAGATCAAGTTTTCTTTCAAAATTTCTCTGAAGTTCCACTCAGCTAAGCTTCGGTCTCTGTATTCTTCAATGATTTTCAATAGGGAGATGACCAGTTTTATATTAGCAATATTTGAATTTAGACTTGGGAGTTGTAGCTGCCAACTCTTAAGCACTCTTCTCGAATTTTGAATTTGCAGTGACGTCTTCAGCTTTGTCAGGTTTGTGCAGACAATTGTCTCCTTTTCTCTAGACCGGAACCCAAAATCTTATTAAAAATTCCAAAACCTTTTCCTATTATTTTTTTGGTCCAAACCACAAACATACAGTCCTTTTCTGATTTCCTAGCCCATCCCCACAAAGGTTAAATAGAATATGTTGCTTTAATCGAGCCTTTACATGGCTGAACCATCTATTATCACAAGTAGTGTAAGCTGAATAATTGCTTCATTCAAGTGTGATGTCAAGATAAAAAGGGCAACCGCTGGCCGATTACACCATGAAGGTAACTTTGTGTACCTCTCCTCTAGGAAACATTATATAAAATATAAGCACTAGAAACAGCTTTAAATCTATAATGCAATCAATTAATTGTACACCTCTGAGGCTACAAGAACAGCAAGAGCCAAGAAATGAAGCAACAAGCAGATATTGAAACCCATATATGAAATGCAAGATTAGAAGTGTTGGCAGCAGTAGGTGGTGGATCTTGCTTCACGGCCTCAGTTACCGCTGTTGGTGGCGCCGCAGACTCTCCTGATCTCACCCTGGGTGCCCGTAAGCACCTGGATGCCTCCCATCTTCACCATTGCCCCTGCGAACCGTGCCATCCACGCGATCGGGTTGGCAGCGTTGTCCTGCACCATCTTGTTGGTGGTGTTGCTGCTCGTCAGTGTCTGGTCCGACGTGAACATCACCTGCCCGGTGGCCAAGTTGGAGTAATACTGGTTGCTCAGCTTGTTCTGGTCTGTCACACGGTTGTTGTTCAGCACGGTGCCGCCGCCGCCTTGTGACGGCGGAGGGCACACTGCCTTGAGCCCTTGAGCGAAGGTGGCGTTCATGGTCGTGTCCACGGTGGGGTACAGCCGGGGCGTGACGAAGGAGCAGTGCGTTTGGCCGAAGGAGTGCGCGCCGGAGAGCGCCACCAGGTCGGTGGGGTTGAGGCCCTTGTTGTCGAAGCTCGTGATGAGGTCCTGGACCTGCATGTTCGGTGCAGGGAGGTTCCCGAAAATGTCGTTCATGTCGGACACGAATCCGTCGCGCCGGCCGCCGGGCATGGCGAAGGCGAAGCCGCCAGAGAGGATGGCTGAGTCGCGCGCGGCGTAGGCGAGGATGTCGGCGCAGGAGACGACGCCGGGGCAGACGGCCTCCACGGCTGCCTTGACCGTGTTCACTTCAACGTAACCACGTAGAGGGATGGCTAACTTCTCCGGCTGTGAGTTGCTATTGGACTGGTCGAGCAGAATGGAAGCGTCGCAACCCTGAAACAAACAAACAAAAATCAATTGATCTGTGATCACTTACTTACAGATGAGCTTGTAGTTCTATTACATATATACTCTATGCATCGTTTTAGACATTTTGTTCTAAGCATGCATTGTTACTGACAATTTCATATTATAAAAGTATATATGTCACAAAAGGATCGGAGTAAGAAGTCATGGAAGAAGAGATCATTACCCTGACGAAGCAGTCATGGAAGAAGAGACGCACAAAGGCAGCGCCCATGGTGGGGTCGTTGGAGATGATCTTCTGAGTGGCATTGCGGACCGCCTCCTCGGCTTTTGGGCATGACGAGCTGTAGAAGTTGTACTGCAATGCCGTACCAGACGCCGTGGCCATCGCAGCTGCAGCGATCACCATGATCACTAAGGCCTGGCATGCCGAGGTCGCCATCGCCATGTCTCAGTGTGTAAGCTATTCAAAGCTTTCAGAAATCTGTGTGTGTGTGTGTGTGTGATGAATGTAGTGTTTGATGCTGACAGCAGTGTGGTCTCCGTGGGTATTTATACATAAAGACGCGAGGAAACAAGCGTCGTTGCTAACGCATCTCTCTCAAGTGCAGGGAGCTAGTTCGTTCACTGCTTTTTCTGTTTTGTGTTTGAATAATGTATGTAAGCTAGTCAACTACTGAAACTTAACAATGATTTGGGAGGTTACCGATAATGCTACACCATAAACTGGTTACAACTGTTGGTTGTTACAGCAGCTAGTTCCTGGCGTGTTGACATTGCCGATCGATCATATATATATATATATATATATATATATATATATATATATATATATATATACGTGCTAGCTTATTAATCTCGTTTCAGGATTAGAAGACTTTAGTTTGAGCTAGAACATTGACATTGTGGTGTGAAGAGTTAGAAATTCAATGTCACTGATGAGAACGCAGCTAGCTAGCTTAGGGCAAGATTCCATGTACCTAATAATCAAGTTGTTTGTTGACTTCAATTTGGGAACTCCTCTCTACCGACAAACTCACAAACAGAAGCAACGACCTAGAATGAAATGGCCAGCTACATGTTTCATACTTGTTGGAAAGCATTATATATGATCAAGAACGACGTTGTCTCTCTTTTATTTATTTGATCTAAGACGATGTGTTTTTATTGATTGAGGTCGCATATGATTATATATGGACGTATCTTATTTAGAGAGAGAGATTTGGGGACAAATATGTATTGCTCGAACATTCTCTCCGCTAATTGTTGCTGTCTGTTTGTTATCAAAAGAATGTCAACCAAACCAGCTGGCGCGTCGTTACCACAGAATCCACATTTGAATATTTATATATCATATATGGTTCTCTTTTTGTCTCTCCGCTTATACATTCTCTCCACTAATTTTAGGAAGATGGAAGAACCGATTGTCAGCAAAACAAATAGCTTGATTTATATAGATATATATAACACATTAGCACGTTATTATCACCGACACAGCTGAGCGCGTCTTCAATTCCTATGCATATAGACACACCAATAAAAAGTATACAGATGTATTGCGTGACTCTGTAACTTACTTAATGCAGTGTTTTTTTTTACAATGTTCATACTTCGTACACGGTGTCCTGGAGTAGGATTTAATATTAATCTCCACGTTGACACAGCGTTTATTTATTTGTGCGCATTCCAGTTGTTGACAAAATTTACATACTGGATGCCGGTGAAGAACAAGAACCCACAGTTAGCTAGGTAGCTGTTGTTGACTTGAGTTTGGAAAAAAAAAAGGTGGTAGGACGTGAAAAGAATAAAAAGTAGGAAATGATTCTTAATGCAAATGTACAAGAAAAAAAAATATAAAAGTGGTTAGGATAATTTAGAAATAGTATAAGATTCATGATGTAAAATTATCTTCTATATTTTAGGAGTGGAGATTATTAGAAATTTTTGGAGATAGCCTTCTTTATTCCTTCCAATACCTTTTTAGGAGTTATAAAACTCTATATTTTTGGGAAGAAAATATTAGGTAAAGATGCTCTAATGGAACGATGATGTGCCTAGCTAGGTTCAATCTGAAGATCTGGACATGCGTGCTTCATATTAGCAGGCATTGACTTAGCTAGACGCAGAGATGCTGGAGAATATTGCACGTTGAGCACACAGAACCGAAAGGAAATTAGCTGGTTTATTGGTCATAAAACTATACCCGAGGCGGACATAATCATAAGCATGTATGTACGCCGTCGGACATACGTCCATTTGATATAGATAGTTCCTGGACACCGCCGGCAAGAACGACGACACGGCGGACGACAAGCAGGTTGACCCGCTGCCCAATCTAGAGTCTGAGAAGTGGGTAGCCAAGGACAGTCAGGTGCTTAGCTACTTGTTTTCATCTCTGTCCAAGGAAATCTTTTCCCAGGTGTCATCTGCATCTACCGCCGCAGAGCTCTGGGCTGCGATCCAGGCACTGCATGCCTCGCAGTCCCGTGCGCGTGTGATCGCCACGCGCATGGCGCTCGCCATGGCATCTAAAGGAGCGTCAACCGTGGTGGAGTACTTCACAAAGATGAAGGGTCTCGTCGACGAGATGGCATCAGCGGGACGCAAGCTGGAGGACGAGGAGCTCGTCTCCTACATCCTCACCGGACTCGACAGCGACTTCAACTCCGTCGTCTCGGCGGTCGCAGCAAGAGTCGAGCCGATCACCGTGCCGAAGCTCTACGCACAGCTAGTCAGCTTCGAGTAGCGCGTGGAGATGCAAGGCGGGGGAGCTCCATCCTCGGCCAACATGGTGATGAAGAACGGTCGCGAGGGCGGCAAC